TTTTCGAATCGAAATCGAAATTTTATTCTTTTAAAAAATAAATAATGTTAATTCACATCATCAATTGTTAATTATCGTTATAAGGATGTTATTATTATTATTATTATCATTATTAAAATTTAGTTTTTCGAAAAACTAAATTTTAGTCTAAACAAAAAAAAAAAAAAAACCAAAGAAAAAAAAATATACAGAAAGGGTTTGGGTAGTAAAACCCCCATTTTCGATTCTCGTGATGTACTTTTCGATTTTTTAGTTTTTTCCCCCCCCCCCCCCCTCCCCAAGTTTATCCAATATATCACTTTCGATGGAAGTTTTAACGATTTTTTTTTTTTTTTTTGCTTTTTTCTTTCTTTCTTTCTTATTCTTTTCCATTTGAAAAAGTGAAACCTTTTTTCCTTAATTAAATTTCTGTATAAAAAAAAAAACAGTTGGGCGAATCCATAATCAAAACTAATCGTTCACACAACTAAATTAAAAAAAAAAGAAAAAAAGAAAAAAAGTGGCAGCAGATAATTAATTTATTTATTAAAATTATATTTTAACCAATCAGAATAATTTATTTAATAATTACGTCACGAGTCATTTTTTTAAATAGAATTTTAATGGCGTAACGATATTCGATTTGCAAAACAGAATTTTTTTTTTTTTTTATTATTTTTTTTGGCGCGTTAATTTTAATTTTTTTTTTTTTTTAATAATGATGATTTATTTTATCAGTTATTATCATTATTATTATTATTATTGATCATTTTAGAATTTGAATTTTGAAATGAGATCGGAATTAAATTCTCAAACAGTCGATGACGATGACGGAGTCGGTGGACAATGTTGGACAAAAACGGAAAACGATAATATAGAAAATGAAAATAAAATACATCGAAATGAGGATGAAACCGGAAACGGGATAATAATAAAACCGGAAAACGAATGTAATAAAAATGAAGATAGAATAGATCTGAGAAGTAGGAGTAAAAGACGAAGGCCCGTGTCATCAGTGACACCAGATTTAGAACTCACGGATTCCTCATCTGTAAGTGAGTTTACCGAGAAAAAAAAATTATTATTATTATTATTATTATTATCAATGCCCCCCCTTTTTTTTTTAACGTACTCTATAACAAAAATTACGACAGCAAAACTTTACGAAATTATTATTTTGTTTAAAAAAACCAAAAAAAGTTAATTATGGGTTCACTTTATAGATAAGCGATGATGTTACGTTCGTACCGTACTCAAGCAGAAGTGCCAGATCTCGATCCGGAAGATCTTCGACATCTTCTGGAACCACTCATTCATCGGTATCAAGAACTAGAAGAAAACCTGTACTAAATGCAAGAGAAAGAAATATAAGAAGGTTGGAAAGTAATGAGAGAGAAAGAATGAGAATGCACAGCCTCAATGATGCATTTCAGGTAAATTTAATTTTTTTATTTCTATCACCGAAAAAAAAAAACGGGAAAACGTTTCAATGACGTATCAACAGGTTCCATTACTATTATTATTATTATTATTATTAACGTAAAAAAAAATTTCCTTTAAAGAAAAGAAAAAGGAAAAGAAAATTCCAAAAGTTTATTTTTCCATTTTTCTCTTTTTTTTTTTTTTTTTATGAAAAATGAAAAAATGCTTCAGTTACTTAATCCGAATTTATAAATAGAAGAGAGAGAGAGAGAGAGAGAGAGAGAGAGAGAAAGAAAATTGTTTTTCTTTTTTTTTTTTTTATTCGGTTGCTTTTAAGCTCGAAAGATTATAAAAAAAAAAAAAGAAAAGACAAATTTTAGTACAACTAAAAGTTAAAAAATATTTAATATATATTTTAATCTTTATTTTTGTTTCTTATTAAAAATGAATGAAAGTCTATGACTTACCCACAAAAATAATTTTTTCTCCTGCCACGTCGTTATTTTACAAAATCTAAACACGACCTGGAAAAAAAAAATCATATTAAAAACTTTTTCCCTTTATGTGCGTGTAAAAAAAAAAAAAAAAAAAAAAAATTCATTTAACTTTTTTTATAAAAAAAAAAAAAAATTACCAACAAACAAACAAACACAAACCCCCCCACACAAACTATAGACCATCATCCCCATCACGCACATAAATTTAAAAAAAAAAAAAAAAAAAAGGTAAAAACTCTCTAAAAACTTTGTTATATTAATAAAAAAAAAAAATTTAATAAAACTTTATTTAATTGAATAATTTTTCATTTTTTTTTTTTTTTTTTTTTTCAATCGATATTTATTATATATATATATAATATAGAGTCTTCGAGAAGTTATACCACACGTGAAAAAAGAAAGAAGACTTTCTAAAATAGAAACATTAACTTTAGCTAAAAATTATATATTAGCATTAACTAGTGTTATTTGCGACATACGCGGTGATAACAAATTAATGCAATCAGGAAGAACGGAAACGACCGTTGTGACGTCATCAAATCAAGATCCTAAAAATGATTTGTACGATTTTCAAGGATAATTTATTATTAATATTATTATTATTATCATCAACCACTACCACCACTACCACTACCACTAAAAATTGATGTTGTTGTCAATATATAAAAATCGTTAAAAAATCAAAAGAAGAGAAAATAAAAAACAAACAAACAAACAAACAAACAATCGACGTTAATTTTTTTCTTTTTTTTTTTTTTGTGCCAAAAATTAAAATGTATAAATTATAAATAAAACAGGTAATTAATTAAAATTTATTTAATTAATTTATCATTATTATTATTATTATTATTATTATTATTATTATTATTATTATTATTATTTACGTT